AAGCTAGAACAACATGGTGGAAGTGGCAGTCTTATGATTATCAAAGCTAAAATTCCAACCTCTTGTTCCTTTTTTTTTTTTTGGTAAGGCAATTGGGCTTAAGTGACCTGCCCAGAGTCACACAGCTAGTGAGTATTATGTGTCTGATGCCAGATTTGAATTCAGTCCTCCTGATTCCAGGGTCTATGCTCTATCCACTGTGCCACCTAGCTGCCCCCTCCATCTGCTTTTAAACCAAAGGAATAATAAAATCATTTGACTAAGGGGTAAGAAATGTCAGAAGCTTGGTGGTGAACATCGTAGGATTGCTTTTGAACATGTTTCATTTTTTTTTTTATCACAGCTACTGATTTGTTATTTATATGATAAAAATTGAATACACAAAATTGACTCCACCAAATCATAGTAAATAAACATTTAACAGCGCAGGAAAACGGTTAATTGTGGAAAACTATTGAAATGACTTCTTTAGTGCAATTTTGTGGGGTTTATCAAACACAATTTTTTTTCTGCTACAGTTGGTCTGTATTAAAAACCAGAGTTTTGTTTACAGTTTCAGATTTGACATATTTTAGTGCCTTTTAGTTATATCACTTTAGTGATTGCACTAATTTTTCATAATTACTCTGTCATACTTTGTATGGTTTTTAGACCTACTAGAGTAATAGAAATTAGTAAGAGTCATTAAACTGTTCAGTGACTCACTGATAAATTATTGCTTATAAACAGGTATTTTTACAATGTGGAATGGAAAACATCAGGAACATTTCAAAATATGAAATTTTCAATAATGTAAAATTCTGTTATAATATATAAATTATCTTACTATAAGTTGCTAAAATTATACATGAGTTTAGGTGTTGCATAGTATGTAAATGTTATTTTTTATATTTCCTCACTTAAAAGAAACATGCTTGCAAAATGGGATATTTAGGAATTCAACTCTTGAAATTCCAAATCCTATTCACAAAAATTTTAGTGTTAACTTATTAGCCCGTTTTCCCTTAAAAATACTTCATGTTTTAGTTCTCGCAAATTTTTTTTAAAATTGATAGATGTATGTGTTGTTAAGAGTAGGAAATGTTTCATTTTTTTATTCAACATCTATCACAGTGCCAGGCACAATAAGAAACTTTTAATAAATCCAAGTATTTATTAGATGTCTATTCTTTTGTGCAAAGCACAGGGAAGCTTTTCCAAGAGGGATTAGTTAACAAAAAAACTAAGAAGAATTTATTATAAAAAGATTTCACTTATAGGGTGGTTCTGTAATCCTGTGGAGAGTAGGGTTCTAATATAGTACTACATGAAGTCAAATGACCTGGGTTTGAATCCTGACTCTCTCACTTACCTGTGTGACCCTGGCAAATCATTTCACCTTGTTTGGCCTCAGTTTGCTCATTTGTAAAATTAAGGGATTGAATCAGTTGACCCATTGGGGCTTTTCCAGCTCTAAATCCCTGGTTATAGGATAATTTCATATGCAGTAATCACTGAAGTATTAGAGAAATTGCTTGGTATTAATAAGTGAATTTCTCACCCTAGAAGCCTTTACAGTTGAACAAAAAAAGCATTCAGGAAAAGATGATTTACCTGGATTCCCAATTTAAAAGTACTTGGCCAATTTTTAACAAATTCAAATTCAGCAAACATTTGCTAAAGGTCTACTGCATGCAAGGGACCATGAAGTGGAAAAATTTAGGCATAATAAAAGGTCTCTGTCATTGAATTTACTGTGCTTTGTGAACCATAGCTCAGGCTGAACTCGGTGCTAAGGTCAAGGATGGAAATTTTGCTGAATCTACTCTTTCGCTATAATAACTTTGCATGTGGTATTGCAGATTGAACATCCATTTGTACTCATGACTTCAGTCACAAGGGTCAATGGAAAACTGAAGAACAAAAACCAGGAGAGAAACAGAACGGCTGAAGCAAAGAAATGGGAGGGAGTCAGCCAGACTCCACTCTTCTACAAGTGCCCAGTAGTTCATCTCCAATTCAGTAGTTCCTTCTTCATCCCCTCCCCCCAAATGCAGCTAGATGGCTCATAGGATCCAGCTCTTGGCTTAGAGTCAGGAAGACCCGAGTTTAAATGGGGCTTTCTTTATTTACTGTGTGATCCTGGGCAAGTCTCATTTCCTTATTTGTAAAATTAAAGAATAATTGTAAAAGTAATTAGCACAGTGCCTGTCACATATAAGCGTTGGTTTAGTCAAGTCTGACTCTTTGTGACCCCACGGGCTTTCTTGACAAAGATACTGGAGTGGTTTGCCATTTCCTTCTCCAGCTCATTTGACAGATGAGGAAACTGAGGCAAACCGGGCTAAGTGTCTTGTCCAGAGTCACACGACATATAAAAGTTTGAGAGATATAGTTTCTGGGTAGTCATTTTATTAATCATGCTAGCAATAATTAATAAAAGGGAATGGTGGCACTCTCGAATGACAAAGCCCCCTCATGGAACTTACTCAATGCTTATACACCCTTGGGAAGAGTGGTGAGAGTGATGATCAACTCTGATCGGTTAACAAGTAATGAGAGAATGAATATTATAATGACAGGTGACCTTATTCTTTTTTTAATTTGAATTCAATATTAAGTTATATAAAGGAGCATAATAACATACAATTTAAAAAGTCATTTGATCCCTTTCATAATGAATAAATAAATCATAAGGAAGTGTGGTAGAAAGATCGTCCCAGAATGCAAACCTACGGATAAGGGCAGAAAGTTGCTTGTTTATATCACCCAGATTTCCTTCATGTTAGGCCACATCATCTGAATGACGTAGATAATGAAGAAAATAAAGCAAAATCAAACTAATATTATTTACCTAGATTTCTTCCATTGTAATGTGATTAAGGACAGATACATATACATGCACATGTACAATAATCACAATAATAGCTAATATTTATATAGTACTTTAAAATTAATCTATCCATGGAGTCAGAGGGTGACCTTATTCTAATAAGGGTCTAGGGGATCTGACTGATCACTCAGTCTTGGTCAAAAGATTAGCTCTTATCCAGACTACCCCTGCCTAGGACAATCTAGACAAGAGGGGGTCCACCTCTGCCCAGACTTAAGTGGAACAAAATGGGCTGTAATTCACCTTAGATTAAATTCTTTGTAAGGTTCTCTAGAACTAAGATTTGACCTAATCTCCAAATGCAGAAGGGAAAAATTCCTGGATCTCCCCAATATTTGATTATTTAATAATCATTTCTCTCATTCACTTTAGCTAGTAAGTATCTGAGCCTGGAACTGAATTCATGAATATGAGTATTCCTGACTCCAGGCCTGGCACTCTACCCACTGCTCCACCTAGCTGCTCCATATAAATATTAGCTATTATTACTAATGTAAAAGAATTGGGGGCACAGGCCTTTTGAATTAAAGATAGCCTACTGGCATTACAATGCATAAATTGCACAGATAATACACTGCCATGGCAGATTAAACGATAGCAGCAGATAGAGCACTGGGCCTTGAGTCAGGAAAATCTGAGTTCAAATTCAGCTTTAGACATTTACTAGCTGTGTGATCCTGGGCAAGTCACGAAACCTCTCTTTGCCTTAATCCATTGAAGAAGGAAATGGCAAACCACCCCAGTATCTTTGCTAAGAAAACCCAGCGTACAGCATTGGCCTGCTGTGCTTTACTGGAAGAATTGGACACAACTAAACAACAAAACATGGGGAAAGTAAACTTGTAAACTGATAGAAATGTATTCAGAATAAGATCCTGTTCCATCTTCCCTTGCCAAACTATGTAGAGGCTGAACTCTGCTTCCATGGACTTTTCACATTGTTTTTAAACATAACTTTATAAACTTTAAAACATAAAACACAATCGAGTGCACTTTTGTTTGTGTAGAAACAAACAGTATTTGTTTAAAAAATTGTTAAAAAACTATGCAAGGTACAGAAAATGAAAAAAAGGGAAATTGTAGGAAAAAAAGAAGCTATCGGAGCACTTAATTCATACAACAGCAGGGTCGGTGGTTAACAAACAGAATACTTTTAAAAACATGTTGGCTGTAAGACTTAAAAAAAAACCTTAAGTAAAACCAATTTGCAACTTCATGTATAACTTTTTTCTGTTCTCTGTATATGGAAACACTCACTTTTTTGGCTTTTAAGTTCGGAATTTTTTAAAAAGGGAAAAAAAGCTGCTTGAAGGCAGGTAGTTTTTGTTAGGAGTTTGTATACGCAATATCTAAAATGGCACATTTAAATGCTTGTTAAATCGCGGGGGAAAGTATACAGGCATTCCATCATTTTACTTGGTAATTTTATTGACATAAGCATACTCTATGTAAATTTGTCAGCTTTTGTGCATGGCTTGTCTTTTGCTTTTATTAAGCACCGTGCAATCGAGACGGAGACACCATGGAATATTACAATATTAAATACGTCCACAATTTAAAAGCGCTTTGTAGGTTGATTTGAGGTTTTAGAAGAAAAATGCAGCATTACTCCATTAAAAAAAACAACTAAGGATCACGTGAAGCAATTGCATTGTTTTTTAAAATGTCCGTATGTCTTTTTCTCTTCCTGGTCAGAGGGGGCTGAGTTTTAAACATGGTTTTCCTTTGGGGATACAGATCTAATGAATGTGGTTGGGAATGGAGAAGGGCGTTCTAATTCCAGGGTGGCCTAGGAGGAAATTTTCAGTGGTTCTTGGGTAACTAGTTAGGGCTAGTTTTTTGGGTTTTTTTTTAAAAGCTTCTGAGAATTCCCTAGGCATTTCCTCATTGCAAACCCTCTCCTCCACGCATTCCACCGCTCACTTTGGCAGGCGCTGGGGAATTGCATTCCCCCCTGTGCTTTCTCCCCCCCCCCCCCCCCCCGGTACACCTGAAGTTCTCTCTCCTTTTTTCCCCGTGGCTCCGGTGGGCTGTATCCACCCGCGGCTAGCCGGTGGACGTTGTTTCCCTCACCTGTGGTTTGCACGAGGAGGGGGAGGGGAAGGGGCATCCACCTGGGTCTCGCCTTCAGTCTCCCCCCACCCCCCCGCTAGGGAAAGGGCTTGTGCAAGCTTCCCGGCGGCTGCCCGAGCCCTACCAGCCTGATCGTCACATGACTAGGAAGGCGGTGGGAGCCGGAGCCGAAGCCCGAGCAGCGGCGGCTCCCTCTGTTCCGCCTGTGGGTTTAGTTCCGCGCCCCGAGGAAGGGAGAGAAGGGGGCGGGGGGAGAGAGAACCTGCCGCCGCCGCTCCGGCCCCCCTCCCCCCGCTCCAGCCGGTTCCCAGCCTCGCTCCATGTAGTTCCATTGCGGAAGTGGACCAGGAGGTGGCGGCGGCGGCAGCGGCGGTGGCGGCAGCGCTGGCCCCAGGAGCCCGAGGCTGGGGCCCGGCCCGTTCCCCCCTCCTTGCTTCCAGCGCAACAAACAGCCGCGAGCCCGTGCTTGCAATCCCCGGCTCGGCGGCTCCCCGGCTTCCCTCCCTCCTTCCCAGCCGCCTCCTCCTCCTTCCTCGGCGCAGTCGTCGCCGCCGTGCCCAGGCTGCATGCTCCTGGCCCCCCCCCTCCCCCGCCTCCTCCTCCCGCTCCTCCTCCTCCTGCCGCTGCTGCTGCTGCTCTCCCCGCAGCCGGCCGCGGGAGCAGTAACATGCTCACTCGCGTGAAATCTGCGGTGGCCAATTTCATGGGCGGCATCATGGCTGGTGGCTCGGGCTTGGAGCACGGCGGAGGCTGCGCCGGCGGCGGAGCCGGCTCCGACCTGCCCTTGCGCTTCCCCTACGGGCGGCCGGAGTTCCTGGGGCTGTCTCAGGACGAGGTCGAGTGCAGCGCTGACCACATCGCCCGCCCCATCCTCATCCTCAAGGAGACCAAGCGACTGCCCTGGACCACGGGCTACGCAGAGTGAGTGCAGCCGCCGCGCCGGGGAGGTGCATCACCTGCCCCCCCTTTAACCCTCCCCCCGGGTACCCCTTCCTTCCCTGCCTACCGCACTGGCCGCGGGGCTGCCAGCCGTCCCCCGGGCTTCCCGGCTCACGCTGGGCATTTCCCCCTTCCCCTCCCCCGTCCCCCTCATCCCTCCTCTCCAAGGACGCTGCGTCTCCATCCCCGGAGATGGGGTGGGAGGCAACAACTGGACCAGGAGGAAGGATCGGGGCTGGAAGGGCGTTGAGGGGTGTGGGAAGGGGGGAGTTGTCCTTTTGGACCCGAGCGGGGAGCTTGGGTTGAAGTTAGCAATGGGGGTAGGGGGTAGGCTGTGGATTATGCGCCCCTCCAGGTCCTTGCCCCTGCCGTGGGCTGCTGCGGGTATCCTCGTCTTGGAGGTGGGGGCCTGCGGGTGTCGGTCGGGGTGTGTGTGACGGAGGAGAGTCTCAGACCTTCGAGCTGGGAGAGTTGCTGTACTTTTCCCCCCGTGGCGGTTGGCAGATGTCAGGACCACTTATCTGGTGCAGCCTGGGGAGAGGGAGAAGTTAATTTAAAGTAGATAATCCCAGCATCTTGGCAGTTTCATCTTTAATGCCAAGCCGTTGAGAGCTGGGGATGGGGGTGGTGGGGTATTGCGATCTCGGGAATAAACGGTGGGGTTTGTGGTTCCCGAGGAGGATTAAGGAGGGGGAGAGCTAGCGATGGAGATAGATATTGTTTTCACTTCCCCCCCCTCCCCCCACTGGTGGTCTTCCATTGACTTTATTAACGAGCCCTTTTTGACTCTTTGGATGCCGGCGCTGCGTTCTGTTTTGTTCACCTGGTCCCCTGCACTCTGGAACTGGGAGATTTGGAAGGTGGAATGAAGGAGACTGGAGTTAAGGGGGTAACGCCAAGTGCGGGTGCCAAAGGGTGGCATTAGAACTTGTACTGCCCGTGGGACTCAACTGGCTCCTGGGCCTCCTGCCCACCCGCACCAGCTATCCCCTGGCCCCCAACCCTTAACCCATATCCCTGTGAGTCCGATGCTGCCCTGGGCACATACTCTGATTGGTTCTTCCAAGACCCAATCAGCTCTTGGGATGCCTGTGCCAGGTGACTTCTGGAGGCTGCCTTGAACCCCCCACACACACACACTTCCCATTAGCAAGGATGAATGGAGCTGGGAGTGGTGGGGGATGTTGTGCCCTCATTAAACTAAGTAATGACCGTATCAGCCTTCTCCCCCTTTAATCTCCGACCCTGTCATCCTTCATCAAGGCCAACCACAGAGACAGATCAGTACCGTATCTTTACCTTTAACTAACATATTATACAGTTCTTCAGCCACCCTGATAATAAATCATCTTTAACAAGTTCAGTTAGTAAAGGGTCCCTGCCACCAGAAGACAGACTTAATTTCTTAGATTTCTGAAGGAGAAAAATCAAGGTAGGAAGTGGTGGGGTTTGTGTGGGCACAGGTAATGGTTTTAAAGAGGGAAGGTTTGGAAACAGCATGGAACCAGAAAGGACTCTGGCCTTAAACAGTTGAATTTAAATCTCTATTCTAATGCTGTAGGATCTATGTTACCGGGCATAATGAGTTTCTTCACTTTGCTTATCTGTAAAATGAGAAACTAACTTACTCCACAGGGCTATGGTAAGGAAATTATTTTGAAAGCCTTAAAGTGTCAGTATTATTAGTTTGGATTATTGCTGGTAATAAAAAGAAGCAAAAGCTAATTACAAGGTGGAGAAAAGCATTTAAAAAGCAGGTAATGAGAGAATAAGATGAAAAAATGTTACTTGAATTATTTTATTTCAGAGCAATCAAAAACCTGAATGTATTAACCTAGCTAGACTACGAGACTTGCAGTCAGGAGGACCTACATTTGAATCCCAACTCTGACACTTATTAGCTGTGTGATATGTCATATAGTCTCTTTGAGCCTTAATTTGTTCATCTTTAAGATGGAAATAATTACCTACAGGATTGTTATGTGACTTGGATGCAACAATGGCTATATAAATGCCAGTTACTATTATTATTTCTCTTTTAGATACCCTAAGGTTTGGGGCTTTGAGAGGTGAAAGAAACCTTTACTTGGTACTACCATCTCTTTAAGCTGTCCTCCTAAAGCAGACAGCCAAATAGTCTCTTCTTTCTTTTATAGCCAGATTACTTTGGAAAAAGTCTATATTTATTGCTTCTATTTATCTTTCTCTCACTTTTTAGCCCTTAGCAATCTGACCCTCATAATTCAATTGAAACTGCTCTCTTCAAAGTTGGTAGTGATCACTTTAAAGAAAAATCCAATAACTTTTTCTCAGCCTTCATCCTTCTTGACTTCTTAGGAACATTTGACATTGTTGATTACCCTTTCCTCTGGGATATGTTTCTTCTCTGGGTTTTCATGACACAGATATCTTGGGTTCTCCTCATTCATGTCCCATTCCCTAGCTCGGGGTATATTCCATGTCTGTGTCCTGGCCTCTTTTTTTTTTTTTTTTTTTTTTAAATCATCAGTCATACCCTCTCTCTGTGTGATCTCGTCAGTTCTCGTGGGTTTGATTGTCATTTTATACAGATCTTTCAAAGGTATCTATCGATCTATCTCTTTGTCTGTCCATTTATCTCTCTATTTTTCCATCTGTCTGTCTAGCCATCTGTCTCATTTGTCGAACTATTTGTCCATCTGTCTATCCTTCTATTCATCTATGTCTGTCTAGCCATCTATTCATCCGTCTATCTGTTCATCTATATATGTCTGCCTATCTATCTGTTCATCCATTTATCTGTCCATCTATCTAATCTCTAGAGTTCTTTCTTTATGGTTTTGAATCACCTACTGCTTATTAGACCTTTAATCCATCTCAAAGTCAACATATCCAAAACAGAACCTATCTCTACCCCAAGCCCTCTATTCTTTGGAATGTAGGGGTTCCCTCTGTTACTGTCCTCTGCTAGTCCCTCGGTCATTCTCTGTCCTTTCTCAGGGAGTTCAGTCTCTTGGTCACAGTCTTCTCTCTACCCAATCCCTGCCCTATTGGAGGGGACTTAAGTATAAGTGATGTTCCCTCAGACTTTCAGGTTTCCCAATTCATCAATTTCCTTTAACTCCAATGACTTATACCTTCATGCTTCCTTATCTTTCATCATTATATTTCATCTCTCCATTGCCCACAAGTGTTCTGCTTTCATGATCAGTAAACTCTGAAATTCCTTTATTCAGCTGTAATCTCCTAGCCTATTTCTCTCTATACCTCCTCCTTCCTAAACTAAATTTTTTCATCCTCACTATGGCTCTCACTAGCTTTGGGGTCTGCTCTGCTTGTATGCTCAGCATCTAGCACAGCACCTGGCACGTAGTAGGCACTTAATAAATGTTTGTTGATTGGCTGCTAGATCGATCACTTCTCATGCTTTGCCAAACCCCAACCCTGAATCACACTCTCCATCTGTGCTGGAGAAAGTCACAGAACTATGATTGTGAGTCTCCTTCACATTTATATTCTTTACTGTCAGCTGGGCCTTACCCACACAAGGCAGTGCTTTTAGCCTTCCCAAATTGACTCTATTGCATTTTTCATATCTACCATTTCAAACCTTTGCTTTTTTTCCTCAGACTTCCCATTTTCTTCTCTTCCTCTCAGCAGAGAATCAAAACGTTCCTGGTGATCTTTCAGATTACTGCAGGCCTTAAAATTTCATTTACAGGCAATTAGGTGGTAGTGGTGCTGTGGATAGAGAGCTAGACCTGGAGACAGGAAGCTGTTCATTTATTTCAGTTGGTCCCACTCTTTTATGACTCCATTTGGGGTTTTCTTGGCAGAGATCCTGGAATGGTTTGCCATTTCCTTCTCCAACTCATTTTACAAATGAGGAAACTGAAGCAAACCAGGTTAAGTGACTTATCCAGGGTTACACAGCTAGTAAATGTCTGAGACCAGATTTGAACTAAGGTCTTCCAGACTCAAGGCCTAGCACATTTTATCCACTCAGCTTTAGTCTCAGGCACACTAGTTATGTGACCCTGGGCAAGTCACTAACCTCTGTTGGCCTTAGTTTCCTCAGTCATAAAAATTAAGATAGTAAAGCCCCCACTTCTCAGGGTTGTTGTGAGAATCAAATAAGATCATAATATTTGTAAACGCTCTTTGCAAACCTTAAAGCACCATACTCCCATACCCTATAAGAATGTCACATGTAGGTTTAGCAATTTTTAAAGCCTTACTATGAGGGAGCATGATAAAAAAGCTAAAAGCCACTATACAAATGCCTAGGTATTCTAATGTGAGGAATTAATAGCGCTTCAAACTAATAAGCCACTTTTTGAAGACTCATCTTGGGAATTTCTGCTCTAATTTTCATTGCGTCAAAGTCCATTACGGAAATGGCCAGCATTCTTCTTCAGATTGATGGACAGATGCAAAACTAAAGTCTGATTGGAACAGAGCTGCCTATCTCTCCAGGTTGTCTGTCTTCCTAGATAATACCTTCCTTAATTGTAGAGGCACCCAGGTGGCACAGTAGATAGAGAGCTGGGCCCAGAGTCAGGAAGACCCAAGTTCATCTTTGGCCACAGACACTTATTAGGTGTGTGACCCTGGGCAAGTCACGTAACCTATGTCTTGTCTCAGATTCCTCATCTGTAAAATAAGTGTAATACTAACACCTACCTCCCGGTGTCGTTGTGAGGATAAAATGAGTTAATGTTTGTAAAGTGCTTAGCATTTTTAGAGCACTTTACAGTTTGCTAGCTCTTATTTTTATTATTATTTAGTGAGGACTTCTTTCTCCTCCTTTTCTTTCCAGATATACTCTACAATTAAGTATACTATGCCAGGATAGCCTTGGAACTAAACTAACCACTGAAATTAACAGTGCAGGAAATGGCTACCTGTCCCATTGACGTAGTGTGTGTTGAGTTATTGATGCTTCATACCTCTAGCCATCCTTCATATCTTCTTTAATCTCTCTTTTTTTGTACCCTTGTCTT